GACTTTTTGCTGAACTAGGCTTGAAAAGATGATGATTTCTGGATTGAGTATAGATAAAAGTTAGGCTATGGGGAGAAGAGTTTTTTTATCTGTAACTTTAAAAGAGGGTGAAAAGTTAGTATATTAGCTTATGCTTGATGTGATGAAGGTTGGAAGCCACTTCTTTATTATTGGTTTTGTTTCCTTTTTCTCTTCTCTTCTACTTTTTCTTTTCTTTTTTCTGCACCTTCTGAACTTTTTTCTTTTCTCTCGCTTAGTTTGTATTAATTTTTACTATGCTTATTAAAAAGTTCAATAAAATTATTAACAAAAAAAAAGGAAAACAGTAAGGATGTAGGTGTAGTGTAGCTGTTGAATTGTGAGGAATCTATGTATGCATCCTTGTTGAATTCATATTATGGCTGCTAAAACCACATAGCATTTCAGCCCTTATTAATTAATATAAACAATTTATAAATTAATGTACTGTATCTTCTCATAAGGAAGATGATCTAGAATTTAAAGTGAATCTCCACAGAAATGTAGAACTTGCAACTCCAGTTGACACCAAGCATCTGTATGTATCAATTAGTCCCTCTCACAAAGATACAACTACATATGTAGAAGCATGTGTAAGAGGAAAGGATATCTTTGCTAGGAAAAGAAGAAAATGTGAGTGGGAACAAAATTTGATAGGGATGAGGCAAATGAAATTTGATAGGGATAAGGCAAATGAAACAAAAGAAAAGAGAGAGATTTAGATTCCTATTTAGGGATTACAAAAATGGTTGAATGATTTCTCCCCAATCTTCTAAAATGCTAGTTTTCGAAAAGAAAGAAAAATAAGAATATAGTAGTAATATATTCTTATTTGTTCTTTCTTTTCTATTTCTTTTCTGTTTCTTCTTTTTCCTTTTCTGTATCTTCTATTTTTTTTCTTTTTCTTTTTTTAAGTTTGTATTAGTTTTTATTGTTGTAATTGTAATTTTTAGTAAAATTACTATAAAAAGGAAATTTTAAAAGGTGCATAAAAATATGATATGCACAAGTAAGGCACGTACACAGTTCCATGCCAGTATGTATACACATAACATCATATCTGGAGTGGGTGTGCATCTGTACCTTTTCCCAGTGTAAACTTAGACTATATGTGACATTAAAATATTTTGCACATAGTGGCAAGCATATTCCTTCCCTAAGGCTCATAAAGGCCGAGAAATACCCATTTTAAAAACAGTAACACCAATTATTTTTCCTGTTGGATATTTTTCCTTCTTTTTTGATAAATAGGAAGAACAAAGATGTCCTCTTGAAGCTCGTTATTATATGTAAAAGCAGTAATACTATCCAATAAATTCACAATCAAGGCCTCTCAGACAAATAAAATAAAATAAAATGCTAGTTTTCAAAGCTTCAGCAGAAATGTCATTTGCATCCATCCACTTGTTTTCAACAGTGTACTACTGTCAGTGAATGCATGGTAATTGAAATATTCTAAATTTGGGTTACAATTTAGACTTTAAAAAACATTATAACTGAGATATATCAAACAGTAAGGAACCAGGCAAATGAAGGACAAATGGCAGCAGAGAATGGAAGGAGTCTTGTCTCCTACAGTACTGGCAAATTAAGTAGACAATATTTATTTATTTATTTATTTATTTATTTATTTATTTATTTATTTCCTGTTTAAACAATATACTGAAAATAATATCATAAATACTTTATTGCATCTATATTTGTTATTGATTTCACAACACAATTGATTATATATATCATAAAGATGATAAATGTCATTGTAAACTCCCACAACAGCTATGTCTAAAATATGCAGACTCTGATCCACAAAAACTTATGCAATAATAAATGTGTTAGTCTTTAAGGTGCTACAAGGTTTAAGGCTACCCTTCTGGGAACATGTTTATTTGGGCATTCTCATTCTTTTTAACAATAAGGCATCTCTGTTGACATTTCTTGACTTCCCTTCACAAATGAAAGTATGCAATACGCTTTTCTAAAACATAGAACGATGGGGATATTAGAATAGAAATACTGTAGGAATAAAAACAAAAAAATCTTGTTAGGAAATTACAGGATATGTTTCCATAATAGGTTAGGAAAAATAAACATGTATGAACATCCAATGAACAGCAAAGCTTTTTTTCACAACTCTGACAATGCATGCCATGTTCTATTTTTAAGCAACCCCCCCCCCCCATGCAGTTAAGTTTTGACTGTCTGAAAACAGGCAATGAAAAATATTAAAATTACTATAAATATGTTCTAGTTCTAAAATTCTTTTCATTTTGCAGCAGCTTTAGTAACTCCATTTTAAAACGTTAATAAAGGATACACTGGGCATCACACTGCAGTATGGTATCATCTGGGTGATTTGGATGTTGCATTGCAATGGCCTGTGGAAATTCGCTAAGCATTCTTTGTTGGAAGGTCTCTAATCTCTCATAGTCATGGCCTCGACAAACATACTCTTTATTCTGCAAGGAAAAGAAAGCAACATGAAATTTTAAAAAATCACTTGATAGTTCCCTTAGCCTCCTCACTTTTATTTAATAACAGGACTAGAGGCACAGTGGAATAAAACAGTTTAAACAGTCTTGCAAAATGGGAGGAGGAAAGGGGCAAATCATACCTCCAGGGGAAGCATGTTCCAGAGTGTGGAGCTAGTACTCAGAAGTTGTGCTGTCCAGCCCACAGAGGACACTTCTTATAGTGCAGGGACAGAATTCTTAGCAGACTCTATTTAGATGTTCAGACCAGATGGGCAGATTCAATTTTAGCAAGGCAGTGCCTGATGTATTCCAATGCTATATCCTATAGGTGACAATCAGCACACTTTGAAACTCACTAACAACCAGTACCAACCCTAAATTTGGTGTTATTCTGCAGTGCCAGACTGCCCTATTTTGTACCAGTTGCACCTTTCAAGTCATTTCGGAAGGCAGTCCCACATGGGGTATATTATAGTAATCCAACTGCATGGTGGTCAAGACATGAGTTACCACTCTCGGGGCATCCTGATATAGGTAGTGACATAACTGGCAAACCTGCTACAACTGGATAAAGGCTAAGCAGGAAGACTCCAGATCATCAGTCAACTCCTTCAGGGGGAGCATAATTCCATCCAGAGTAGCTACAAGGACCAATGTTTCCAGATTGCCTGGATATTTAATAAATAATTTTTTATTATTATTAATACGACTCCACCCAGGTAGTACTTATTTCACTCAGTCTAGTTCTTAACAGCTTCCAAACACCAGTTCAAGCTTTCCACAGCATCTCTGGTTTGGCCTGGGATAGTAATGTATAAATGAATATCATCAGCATACTCATAGAATCATAGTATCATAGAGTTGGAAGGGACTTGGAAGTCTTCCAGTCCAACTCCTTGTCCTGGACAGGAATCCTCAGACCATCCCAGACAAATGGCTGCCCAAACTTTGACTCCAGGACATAGATTCTTCCATCGCTTAATAGTTCTGATGACACCTTACCTTAAACCAATGATGTTCATTCCCAGTGGCTTTCATGTACATGATAAATAATTACTGGGGAGAGCAGTGAACCCTGTAGAACCCCACAACGAAGTAACAGTAACAAGAATTTGAGTGCCTGCATCACTTCTGCCTGGAACCTCCCACTCACATAGCAGAGAATCACCATAAAACAGGGCCCACGACTCCCAACCTTTAAGACAATCCAGATACTTGATAGTATCAAACACTGCTGAGAGTCTGATGGGACTGAAAGGGACATACTCTTATCATCTAGGTCTTGGTGAAAGTCATCCTCCAACACCACTAATGTTTTTGTCCCATAACTGGGCCTGAATTCCAACTGGTAGAGATCCAAATAAGCCACTTCCTTTAAGATCCTCTGTAGCTGATTACTCACAATGTTCCCAACAATCTTCCTTAAAAAGAGAAGGTTGGAAACAAGGCAAACGTCCAGGGAAAGCTTCTTCAGAAGAAGGTGACTACCTCCTCCTTCAAAGAAGTGGCACTATGTCTTCCCTCAAAGCAAGAATGGCTGATCTGGATGCAGCCATTCACACCCACCTAGCCACCCAAAGGAACCAAGAGGAGCATGAATTTAGCTAACATGTAGTTAGAACCTTATTATTACAGAGAATCTTATTCTTTGCTTCCTTTAGTTCTACAATTTCAAAAAAATCCCAGATGGTAACATAAGATGCTGCCTTACTTGAACATGAGCTCTTACAAGTGCTTGGTCACATCCACATCTGGTTTTCCACTACTGCTGCTCTATGTATCTTTTCGGTCACTTCATGTATCTCAGGAACTATGACTAGGAAGAGGCCAAACAGGAGCAATCATATCCAGCACCTTTTCTATCTCTGAATTCCAGAGATTGAGAAGGCATAAAACAGAACTGCCCACCAAGCTGTCAGGAAAGTTCCAAAGTGACTTCTGAAACCTTTCTAAAAGGCCTGTTGCTCATGCAAAGTGCAGGGAGCCCATGATCCACAGCTTAACAAGGAACTGATTTGATTATTGCAAAGGGCAGGTATCAACATTGCCTATTTTCAGATCTCATTTAATCTTCTCCAAATTAAAGACCACACCTAGCATGTGCCTTCCCACATGTGTTGTGACCACTATTTCTCGTGGCAAGTTCATGGTTGCCATTGGGACCATCAGCTCACAAGCCATACTGCACCCCTCTTCCGGTATAAGGAGGTTGAGGATGATATAGAATAATAAAATCATGCAGTTGAAGGAAATGTTTAGGCCATCCAATGCAAACTGCAGCTTAATGCAGGAACCAAAAACATCCTTGCAAATGTCTGTCCAGGCTCTGCTTGAAGACTTCCAGTAAAGGGGAACTCAGCATCTCCTAGGTAATTAGTTCCATAGTCAACCTGCTCTTACAGCTAACATTTTTTTCTAATATTCAACCAAAATCTTGGAGTTTAAATTCACTATTCTGTATCCTGCATTCTGGGCCAGTAGAAAACAAGTCAAGGCTTACTTCTTGTGACAACTTATTTTAATTTAACTGATTATGTGCCATTAAGTCATTTTCAACTCCTAACGACCACATAGATAGATCTTCTCCAAGATGATCTATCCCTAACCTGTTCATTCATATCTCCTAACAGTGCACTCATTGCCTTCTTGCTGGTTGTCCTCTTCTTATCTTTTCTTCTACTTTTCCCAGCATTAGAACCTTTTCCAGAGAGCTGGGTCTTCACACAATGTGTCTGAAGCAGGATAATTTGAGCCTGGTCATTTATGCCTCGAGTGAGAACTCTAGTTTGATTTGTTCAATGATCCATTGGTTTGTTTTCTTGGCTGTCCACAATATTCTCAGGAGTCTTCTCCAATACCAAAGTTCAAAAGCATCAATGCTCTTCCTATCCTGCTTCTTTAAAGTTCAACTTTCGCTTCCATGGAGTGTCACAGGGAATATCATGCTTTGTATGATTCTGATCTTTGTAGGTACAGACACATCATGGCATTTGAATATCTTTTCCAAGGCCTTCATGGCTGCTCTACCGAGTGCAAGTCTGTGGCATATCTCTTGACTGCTTGTTCCTTTACTATTGATGGTTGATCCTAAAAGGCAGAAATTATCCACCACTTTGTTATCTTCATTAATTCTAAGGCTGGTTGTTTTACCTGTTGTCATTAATTTGGTCTTCTTTATATTTAATTTTAGTCCCATTTTTTCACTGTGCTCTTCGACTTTTAGTATAAGGGCTTGCAGAACCTTTGCATTTTCGGCTATCAGGGTAGCATCATTAGCATAGCACAGGTTATTGATGTTTCTTCCTCCAATTTTAAAACCATGCTCATCTTCTTCCAATCCAGCTTCCATTAATATATATTCCACATATAGGTTGGATAAATAAGGGGAAAGTATGCAGCCTTGTCGCACTCCTTTGCCAACCTGGAGCCAGCCTATTTCACCACGTTCTGTCCAGACTGTGACTTCCTGATCTGCATATAAGTCTCTCCTGAGGACAAAGAGATGTTCTAGGATTCCTATTTTTCTGAACACATTCCACAGCTTGATGTGTAATTAAATTTAATTAATTACAGATTTTCTAGTAAGTGTAATAAAGCTAATTTATCAAAGAGTTGCATCCTTGAAACTCTGCTTGTTAGCCTTCAGGTTTGAGTATCACTGGGAGGGCGGAGCTGGCGTCGCGGCGATACGGCGGG